TTTATTAATTTTTTTAATCCAAATTCTGGGACTGCTAATTGCACTATTTATAAATAGCACTAGAATTAAAAAAAAGTGTAAAACAGACATGTATTGTTTATTTCTATAGGTATCAGGAAGTGCGATCATTCGACAGCAGAATTTTGTTTGTTTTGAACACAACTTACACTTTCTTATCGCATTCGCTGCGAGAATGCAACGCATGAGATCCCCTCACGCTACATGTTACATCTACATGTTACATGTACATCTTAGTTTAGTTTTGATCGCAGGGAACGTGCCAAAGCGATTCGTTCACAAAGTCGCATGCCATCGTCGCACTGGCTATGCGCATCTTTTTCTTTCTTATCATAAACTGTCACGTCGTTGCTTGCACAGTTTGCAGCCAGTTTCGTGCCAGTATCTGGTTGATCCAATATTTTACGCGACTCGTATTGTTTGTCCGGACAATTGGCAATAGTAATGTTATTTAATGTTTGCGCGTTTATTGTCTATAAATGCGGGTTAATTGCCGGTTGATTTGATATTCATTATTAGGAATGACCCATTGTGCTGGTATAAGTAACTTTTAACTTAACATCACAGATTGTTTGTTGTTCTCCGCTGTGTGATTATAATATTTCGAAATAGTATTAAATGTTTTTGTTTTAACTTAAGTTTTCCTTGTTTATTTACAGCATTAGCCGTGCCTTGGAGTCCCATGAGTTCTGCATTGGTAAGTTTATAATTCAATTATATTTTTCGTTTTAATTTCGGCGTCCTCCATTAGTTTGTATTTACGTTGTTTTGATTTATCGCGTTCTATCGCGTGTTGCAAATATATAAGATAGTCGCGTACTCGCCTGATTCATCTTAAAATTAACTGTTTAGTTTTTCCTTCGCTTACAAAAGCACAAGAGTTGTACAACAATTTTTGTGTCGCGTTGCCATCTGCTCATATCGCATGCAGTATATCTTAGTTTAGTTTTTATTATTTTTAATTTTAACCTGATAAAAAATTTTCTAATCATTCACATTCTTTGATCCGTTGCTTGCTTGCGATTTTAGTTTAGTTTAAAAGAGGGCAGCGGTAGAAGTGGTTCGTGTTCAGGGCCCATTTTTACATTTTACCCATTTTTTCTTAAGAATTAAAATTTCATCTCTTAGATTTCCGTTTTAACTATCCTATCTTATAGAGAATAGTCTGTAGATTAAGACGCTTCGATGCGATCTTAATTATCTCTTTTAGTTTACAAGTTATTCGCGATTGAATAAAATGAGCAAAAATTGCAAATTGTCACTTTTTCGACCTTTTACTGTAGGAAATATAATTATTTTATATTTT